CTGGATCCAAGCTGGACCCACCTCTCTGTCAAGGCCGAGCCAATTTGCAACAGTGGCTGCCAGTGTGTGATGATGTATTTAAGATGGGAGGAGGAGTGGGAATTGTGAGATGGAGTTGCGAGGAGGACACCTCTGCTAACACTGAGAACAGCAGAGGAAAGGAGGAGGAAGAGGTGGGAGGTGTGCTGGAGCTGCGACTCTCCTGAAGGCCGTGGTGAGATGGCAGAGCCACCCCCTGTCACCATGGTAGTCACTGGTGGAGCAGATGCCCACCTGCAGCCCATGGAGACCCCCATGTCGCAGCAGGTGACTGCTACTGAGAAAGGCTGCAACTCTGTGGGAAGAAGTCCCCGCTCTTGTAGTTTGGCGCTGGGAGTATTGCGACAGACGGGAGTGACCCACACCTGCACATCTCTGGAACTCTGCAGCCTGTGAGAACGACTCATGTTGGAGAAAGTTCATGGAGGACTGCCTATCTCCCGTGAGAGGGACCCCACACTGGAGCAGGGGAAGAGTGCGAGGAGTCCTCCCCTGAGGAGAAAACAGCAGCAGACTGACCACCACCCCATCCCCTGCCCCTGCACCGTGTGGGCAAGGAGGTAGAGAAATCTGGAACAAAGTTGATTCTGCGAAGAAGGGAGGGGGGGGGAAGGTGTTTTTAACTAGTGGTAACACTTCTCACTGTCATACTCTGTCTGTTAAGCATTTCTGTGTTAGTGTTTGCATTAAATTGATCTTCCTTCCCCTAACAAGTCTGTCTTTTGCCCATGACCATAATGGGTGAGTAATCCTTCTCTGTCCTTATTGTGATACCTGAGACTTTAGGTTTATGTTCTCCTTCCAATTCCTGAGGGGCAACGGGTGAGTGAGCAGCTGTGTGGTGCTCAGTTACCACTCTGGGCTCCAACCATTAAAATATCATGAGAGAATTAGGGAGCATCAAAATGTTAAGAGATAGATGAGTTAGAAACAGGGAGGCATGTTGCTTTTGCAGAGCACTTTATTTAATCATTCTGATTCTATGCAATTAGATCAAAGGGGTCTGTTTGCTGTAATAGCATTGGAATCTTCATGGCCAGTTGCAGCAGGAGCAGCTGGCATCAAAGACGAGGCCTTCTTGGCAACTCTCCACAAAGGTTTCACCATTGACACAGTTGTAGAAGTTTCTCTTGTTGGTTGGGTCTGCATAGATGCCGTTGGCCTTGCCAGCACAGAATCCGCTGCCACCAGAGCCACCAGTATCACCCCCTGAGCCCCCGCTCCCACTTCCACCTCCTTGGCTAGGGGCTTCAGTGACAGGAGGATTGGGATGAGCTGGTGGCACGCAGTCTGAAATAAAATCAGGAAAGGGCTCACTTCTGTGTTGACAGTCTCTCAGCCGTCCCCTCCCTCCACAGGCCCTTTAGTGGCGGGACCAGCTATTAGTGTGTTCTCCCAAAGTCTGGCCTGGCTCACACCAGGCCTTTGAGACAGCTGGACCCTGGTCCAAGTCCTTATCCCCCAAGGTTCCAGAGGCCAATGTTTGTGGGTCTCTGAAGCCAAGAAGCACACGGTACTTGAGCTACTCACCATTGTTTTGCAGACCAAGACCCTTCTTCAGGGTGGTGATCAGGGGATATTTGCCTTCCTTGCAGAAAGTGCCAGTGAAGTCGTCCATGTCCAGGGACCAAACCATGGCACCTCCAAAGTTGTTCTTCTTCAGCCAGTCAACCTGTTCAGTGCCAGGGAGAAATCCCAGTTAGTCCCAGGATGTGCTGGTGCAGAGCCTCCTGCCTTCTCATTAGCACAGCCGCACACCCCAGCATACCTTGATGTTGAAGCTCTTGATGTTGTCATAGCCAACCCATTCGCTGCCTTTGTAAGCGTAGGGCACGTCCTGGGGGGCATCCCAAGCCTGGGTGGCTCCAGAGTCCAGGAAGGTGCAGATCTAGGAAAGCAGGGGAGAGAGGGAGAAGTTAGCAAGCGCCCCACAGAAAAGAGCATTTGGAATATCACACGGGTTAAAAATTCCTTGCTGGGAAGCTTGAAGTGTGTTTGTGTTGTTCTTTTGGCATGGGTGTGTAGGAGCACGCATACCTCGTAGTAAGCCAAGAATCCAGCCTGCCTTGTGTAAGGTCCAGCTGGCCCAGCTCCTGTTACTGGTGCCCCAACAGCAGTGTTAGATGGGTTTTGGAGGTTGAAGTTATGTCCGTAGGTTGGGAATCCAACAAGGAGCTTCTCAGCCGGGGCACCATTGCTCTTCCAATAGTTCATCGCATAATCCTGTAAAACAACCACCACAGTTCAAGTCTGTGCCAGGATGCGTAGGCAGGAGGATGACTCCTTAAACTTGTGGTCATGGTTGTTATGATAATCATCTGTGACAGAGTCTCACAAGATATACTTACCACATTGAAGTAGACCATGTCACCGGTGTCAGCTGGGCCTTTGTACAGAGGGCTGTTCTCCCCAGTGGTTCTGTCCCAGGAGCCGTGGAAGTCGTAAGTCATCACGTGGAAGTAGTCCAGGTACCTG